CACGTTGAAATTAGAAAAACAAAAATCAATGAGAAATATAAAAATTAGAATATGTAGAAAATGTTTTAAAACCCTAGAATAAACAATAACTTCCCCATAACATCAAATACCCGAACCCTAATTCTGAATCCGTAAATGTAGAAAATATTTTAAAACCCTAAAATGAACATCAACTTCTTCAAAAAATTTCACAACAAACTGGAAAAACAAATCGAATATGGTATTAACTGAATGGATTCAGTTTAAAATTTAAATTTGAACAACTTTTGAAAAATTTCGGTTACATGTTTATTGAAGAAGGAAATATCGTGGTAGGAAAAATCTTTATCGAATTTGTAGGCATTGCTGAATTTGTAAGTGTTGTCGGATTTGAGGTGCCGGTTGCTGGAGGTGTTGATTGCTTCTGTTTGTGAGGGGATTTCCTCAAACGTCACTTACTTTACTTCTAAAAGAATTTGGTAAAATTAACAAAAAATGAACTTCATAATAAATAAATTTATTTAACGGATTTATCTCAAAATAAGTTCATATAGAAAGATCGATCTCCAAATTTTCTAACTTTAAACCTTAAGACCCATAAACAAATTTACATTTTAAATCCAATTCAAACATTTCAAATTGGGTATTTTGGGCCCATTTATTCCAATCCATAACCCCAAAATACATAAAATTTCAAAAAAAATAGAATAAATAACGATGATGTATAAAATACAAGATGATGTATAACTACAAAGTCTTTCCCACAACTACAAGATGATGTATAAAATAAATCAAATATTCAAGCATATCATCAAACGCATGATGAGTGTAAAATTCTAAAGGTGTGTGTAAAATAAAAAAGAGAAAAAGAATTACAATACAAGACAATTTTAACATAGAAACTCTTTCAAAAAAAATCACAAGACTGTAGTCTACCAAACCTAATCCATTATACTCAAAAGTTTAGATTACAAGCTTAAAGTCTTATATCTCAACCAATTTCACAGTTAAACATTTTCTCACTTGTATCTTTACTCCAGAAATCCACTGTGATGTCTTGAGTACTAGATTCACTAGACGACAAACGAAGCTCTATGATCCACCTTTCAGAATCATTTTCGATTTTTTTGGAATCCACCTAAGATCTTTTCACCACTGCAAATTTTGGTGGGTTTCTTCTAGATCTCTCTTTTCTTTAAATTTTGAAAGTGTAAAACAAGATTGATCTTGGTAAATTTAAGGCCTATGGATGCTTAAGAATGCTATAATTTGTTCTTGACTCTCTAGATGATAGATGAGACTGTTTTCATGTTATAGAAACTTGCCCTAATGAGAAAAGACATGCTTATATATATAAGCCATGTAAATAGAGTTTAATTGGGGAAAAAGAAAACTCAGTTTTACAAGGAACTGCTCAAGCTGTGAGTCTGCGGTCATTGAGCGATGATCACTGGAATGTCAAAAGAATCAATCTCAAACCTCATGAACAAGGACCGCTCAAGCAATGTCAAGGTCACTTCATCTAGCTAAGTCGCTCGAGAGGCCATTTGGCGATGGCCACTATCTATATTTCTAGTTTTTTTTTCAATTTTTCCGTTTAAGAGATTGCTCGAGCTGTAGGCCAATTAACTTCTTGTGGTCCCTACAAATTTTAAAGCCTAATACGCATATAAAAACTTGCCTTAATGAACAACAAGTGTTGTTGCTCAACAATGGTCCATTTCATGACTCCATTAGGGTTTTTGAAACAACATTTAAGATTAAAACTTTTTGAAAAAAAAGGGCAAGAGTCATGTATGAAGCACATCCTAAATGCAAGTACTATTAACCTAGAAAACTAAAGCAAACATACCAAGGTAAGCTAGGTCTCTAGATCAACCTTTCCTAAGTTTTGAAGGATTCCGTGAAGTCTTCACATGTGACTTTATAGCTTGGATTTCATCTTCCTTCTTTACTTTCGGTCTTCTTCTTTATAGCTTCATAATCTCTGATTTAGTTGAGATTTACATGCATTGAGCTCACGGAATTAATCAATTACAGTAATCAATATTTTAACAAATATGATCTCGTTAGTCAAGGTTAATTGATTAATAAATCCAGTTAAATAAAATCTAGCCTCATAAATTCAGCGAATTATTCAAAGTGCTTCAACCATCTTCAACTTCCTGCTCAATCGGAATCACCAATTCATTGATTCACTATCCTAGACCTATGAAACCTTGACCATTATGTAACTTGCAGAATATTACAAAAACACTAAAATGTCTAACATTTATGTACTTTATATTGCCCCAATTTAGGATGTCTGTTACAAATTGGATAGAAAATTATGACACTTTGTCCCCAAACTATGTGATTTTGCTTCACTTCATCCCTAAATCAATCCACACTGGAACATTTTTCATCCAAAAACACAACAGACGTTTAATTTTTAGGTAAACAAATTCAACTAGTTGTGGGCTAATGTAAAAAAATTCAACAGTATAAGGGTGAGGGGGAATTGCATCTTGTAACCTGAAAGATTTAAGAATTTTATGTTATACACTTAAAAATTAGATTTCTTATATTACACTCTCAATGTATTAAAAGTCATATAATATGACCATTTTGTTATTTTTCGTTACTTATTCAGTCAACATCAATATGGTTGATTTTGACGAAATAAGCAACGAAAGCTAACAAAAGGATCGCATTATAATATTTTTAACACAATGAAAGTTCAATATGAGAAATCTCATCTTTTAGGATGCACAGTGAAAAAAAAAAAAAAATCTTTCGTGGTACAAGGTGAAATTGCTATCAAGAGTGAGGACCATAGTTTTACAAATAAAAAATAAATTTATCCTGTAAAGAGTGGTTTCCTACACTAAGTCATAATCATGCCATTGCTTAAATAGATATACCAAATGCTAAAACATGTAAGATTAAGATGTTTAAGATATAAGGTTCTCTTTTGTGATCAAATAACACTCATAAAAGCAGGAGGACACCGGCAACAAACCAAGCCATGAAACAAATGAATGACAAGAAAGAGCAAATTCATTGATGCCCAAAGGTTTGGTTAATACTTTCTTCATTGGTCTCCTCTTGCAACCAATGTAAGCAAGAATTCTCTATAGTTGCCATTGGCTACATCTTCGATTTTCTTGGAGAGAGTAGCCCCATATTTCTGATGGTACTCTTCTTTGATCTGCTTCATATCAGCATCTGCTCGAGTAACGATTACCCGAGTCACTGTTTCTTTCGTAATCTCATCCACGCTGGTTTTCAATGCATCATCCAGTACCTGAGAGGATATGTTTTTGTGAAAATATTTATTTGAAAAAAGCGTTGGGAATTTTGGAGGCAAAATTATGTATTTTGATCTCACCTTGCTAAAATATGTTTGAGGTAAGCATAGGCATTGCACTGTCTCTTTTAAGCCCAACTCAGCATCAAGATCCTGAAGTAAAACATTCATAAATAAGAAAATATATGAGTCATGTAATTAAATAGTTAACCTTGAAATCCTTTTAGCCAAGTTTCTAGCTAAGTTTTGGATGTTATTGGTCAAGGTAAATGACTCCTAAGGATTCATCTTCAATAATTTGTTTCCTCTTTTCTATCCCTTTGACTTTTAACGGGTCCAACAATGTATATCATCACTTCAGGTTAGAACCTCGCTCGGATAAACATCTCAAAAAACCGAAAAAAATAAAAAAATAATTTGGGGAGACATGCAAGCAAGTGAATCAACATGCAAACACAAAATATGAACCGAAGGCATAGTATGCAGGCACAAAGACTTGAACCCGAAACTTCAGAAAAGAAAAGCTCTGATATCATGTTAGACCAACATCGTACATCAAATATTTAGTTTCTTACCTGGTCGAGATACTTGCCACTGATTTCCTTGTAGTGTTTGTACACTGCCTTGATATGGAGCTTGCTTCTTGTAGTTAGTATCCTCAAAACCTCTTCTTCCTCAATAGCTGGTTTCTTACCAGCATTTTTAATGGCATTACAAAGTGTTTTAGCCTCGGTTTTTGCAATTTCTTCATTGACCCGTGGACCTTCATAACGATATGAGCTCAAAAGTGCAACCAAGAGCTGTTCAATTTATAAAAACCAAATGAGAAACTGTCTTGCATTTAGACCTCCTAATTTGGATTTGGCTAAAATGTTATTTATAATATATTTGGAAACCTAATTAATTACAACTGTTGGATCCAAGTAAGTTTCACCNTTTAGACCTCCTAATTTGGATTTGGCTAAAATGTTATTTATAATATATTTGGAAACCTAATTAATTACAACTGTTGGATCCAAGTAAGTTTCACCTAACATTCGAACCAACAATTAATCCAACTTTGCAGGGCTGAACAAGGGGATAGCATAACCTTGTCTGGTTTTCACAGCCGTCAATTTCTTNCCTAACATTCGAACCAACAATTAATCCAACTTTGCAGGGCTGAACAAGGGGATAGCACAACCTTGTCTGGTTTTCACACCCGTCAATTTCTTAATGAAGGAAAAATCTCTCCCCTACTCATTCGTTCTTCAATTCCGATTCCCTTATTAATGAATGTTTCATGTAATAAATTAGATCCCTATGACATTATTCTTTAGCCAAGTTATTGGACCAACCTAAAAATGGCTAACATGGAGCAAAAGTGCACTATGATACTTATGGTGGGTCCGAAGTCCACTATGATGCTAATTTTTGGGGCTATTCAATAATTTTTTTAATGGCATATCATCTACCATTTATTTATGAGGGATCCACTTATCTATGAGAGGCTCACTTGAATTCCCGATCGATTACCTACCATTAAGAGAGATTAAGANATGATACTTATGGTGGGTCCGAAGTCCACTATGATGCTAATTTTTGGGGCTATTCAATAATTTTTTTAATGGCATATCATCTACCATTTAATTATGAGGGATCCACTTATCTATGAGAGGCCCACTTGAATTCCCGATCGATTACCTACCATTAAGAGAGATTAAGAAAAAAAATGTATTATAGTGAATCTAGATCCTAGCCATTCGTGATTCTGAATAAAGTGGGTTTTAGGCCCATATTTTGATAAATAGACTTTGGACCTAGTTTATCATTCCCCAAGAACAAGTTACATTCTCAAGTGATGGGCCCAATTTTAAATGGGAAGAGGAAAACTTGGGTTGGTTGTAGAATTAAGAGGAACCCAACCAATGTGAGCCAATAATTTAATAGTGTCTAATTAAATTTCATGGAAATTAACAAAATTTGAAAGATCAATGTTATTGGGACCTAATTTGTTGAGTAATTCACTATAACCTTTGAATTGACTCCGAATTCCATCAAATATTAGAATTTGGTATTAATCTAACGGTTCCAATGAAGCCACATCATTAGATTATTAGATTTTTTTGACCCAAAANCTAGTTTATCATTCCCCAAGAACAAGTTACATTCTCAAGTGATGGGCCCAATTTTAATTGGGAAGAGGAAAACTTGGGTTGGTTGTAGAATTAAGAGGAACCCAACCAATGTGAGCCAATAATTTAATGGTGTCTAATTAAATTTCATGAAAATTAAGAAAATTTGAAAGATCAATGTTATTGGGACCTAATTTGTTGAGTAATTCACTATAACCTTTGTATTGACTCCGAATTCCATCAAATATTAGAATTTGGTATTAATCTAATAGTTCCAATGAAACCACATCATTAGATTATTAGATTTTTTTGACCCAAATAGCATTTTCCAATTTGAAATGGGGAGGATCTGAATCTGAATCCGCTGCCTACCATTTGTAACGAAAACCATGGAAGTATTTGGTATACTCACCTTGCGTTCAATTCCACCGACACGAGAGGCAACTTCTTCCTCTATCGAGCGTTCAAAGAGGGAGTGGTAGGCTCTTCTTGCTCCCAATAGCTCTTCGGACGATCTAGTACATGCAATCTCTATGAGCACACCATACTGCGGTCCCTTGTACAGAGCCTCCTTAGCCAAACGGGCATCTCTTTCCCAAGGATGCATGGTCCAAAGCACCATAGCATTCTGCTCAATTTAACATCAATCTTTAATTATTAGGACCTCAGTAATTTTGTACATATCTACACATTAAATTTCACAAGGTAGTATATTAAGGAAAATAATATGTACCTTAAAACGCAGGAACTCACGCTCCAATTGGATGATGTGACGGTCGTCCCACCTCTCGAACTGTCGTTCATCCTCGATGAAGAAGTTACGAGTTCCTTTCCTGAATGAATTTCTCTGCTCCGGATGCCATTTCCCCAGTATCGATATCAATGACTTCTCATCGATACCCAGTCCTATGCACAACAATTATAAATTCAGTTTTAATTTTCCCATAAAAGTAATTACGAAAAACAATAACAAGGCACTGAAATTATTTAAAAATACCAAAAACCTAAATACAATTTTTAAAAAAAAAAAAAAAATCAAGAGGAAGCTTACTAGCATTGCATTAGGTTGAAAGAGAATGCAAATGCCATGGATTTTTCAGAACAAGAATTTGATCCATGTACATTAGTTTCACATGATCAATCCCGAATTACCGCGCAAAATGAATAGATAATGTTGTGAAAAAGAGAAGAAATGAAATTTCGGATTAAAACCAATCGAAAATATTAAGGAGAAGATTGGAGAGAACCTGAGAAGGCCCTTGTGAGAGCTCCAATCTCATCAGAAACTGCCATTGTGTTGTGAAGAAAGAGTGAGAGAGGCAATGAGCTTTGCAATGGAGTCTGTTTTGCTTGTTGAGAGAAAGCTCTGCTATGATGCTATGTTTTATACTGGGGCTTTCAGGGTATATTAGTCATTTAGCAGTCAATTGAAGGATTTTTAATGACATGTATGGAACATAGAAAAATAAATGACACTCTCATCCCTCCGTCAATGTTCAAACCGTTGCACGTCCATTTAAATTATTTAATACGACAACGCTTTGTTTAAAGCCCCGCAATAACGACATGTTCAATAGAATTAAACATAAAAACCGAAATAGATAAGTTTTTTTTTTTTTGAATGCTTAGACCCCCACCAACCGAGTTCATTTGGACTCATAGCCGGTAGTTAATTTGGTCTCACACGCAAAGCCTTCTCTCCATGTGCAAGGATTAAATTTAAGGGAGGTTGTTTCAAGGAATATTTTTACTCCGTAGAGTATGAGAGTATCGAATCCTTAACCAATGTCAACTTAAAACATTTATCAAGTAACCAACTACCGCTTGAACTTACTCCTTGAAGTTGAAATAGATAAGTTTAAGGGCTATAGACCTATACTTTTTATTATTTGTAGATTGTTACTATCACTTTGTGCAAATATATATTTGTGTATTTAGGTGCATTCCCACCTCTTATCGTTTCTCCCGTACCCTCCCCTTTCTTTACGAGAAAATATTGAATATTACTTTTACACCATGTTATCATATTAATTTGGTGTAACTGTCCACTAATAAATTAACAAATAGACAAATGAATTTTACACAATTAAATAACTATTCATTCATATCATGTAATAACTATTCGATATAAAAAAATGGAGTACACTCTGTCCAATTAAATTTTTATTATCGAATGATTACATAATGTCATTGTGACAACATAGTATAATCGTGACATCTTTACACTCGTAATGCAACTCATCGTTGCCTATCAAAAAAAAAAAAAAGAAGTAAATATATCACTACAACTAGTTCTTGAATACTTTGCTACGTTTCTAGTAATTTACAATTGGGCAAGGTGACATTTTGTAATTTATCCGTTTAAACAGAGACACATGAATCATATCAATGAGTGGAATGATTTAGTGAGTTATTGGCCGAATTTTTTATCTTAAAGTTAGATGGTCGAGTTTTGTGGTCTATACTGGGGTTCAATGTTGACCGCTATATTAATCTAGTGAAATTTACTATGAAGAGATATAATGTGTATGATCAAAAGTTTCATGATCCTAACAATAAGGCGGTACTAGGATAGTTTCTGAGAACTCTTTTTACTCTTATCTTTTTTAAATGAGAAGACAAAAAAAAAAGACATGAATCACGAGGGGGACAATGACATCCTTCTGGGCTCAATCCATAGTAATAATTGCTCCTGTATTTAGTTGGACAGGTGGGATAATGTCCCATTATTGATGATTTTCAAATTAATTATTTTTATCTTTTTCTTTATAGAACAACGAGCCGTTAAAAACAAACAAAATGCAGTGAATTCTATGCATAATAAAAGCGATAAAAACATAATTTTAATAAAGACATTGTACGAGAAAAATAAATATAAAAATTAAAATATATAAGTATTTTTTTTTTTAATAACCCAAGAACTCCCAGCCAATCCCACCAATCGAGTTCATTTGGACTCGTGACCAGTAGTTAGAGGTGTTAATTAAATTGAACTATTTGAGCTTAGTTTGAGTTCGGTTCATTCAGGCTCGGTTCGTTTTTTAAACGAGTCCGAACTTGAATAAATTTTTAAACTCGTTTAAACAACAAGTTCTATAAGCTCACCTTAAATTCGACAAACTCGACTTATTTATGTGCAAATACTCGGACTTGACTCGGGCTCGATTCGAGTTCGGCTCATTCAGATTCGGCTCATTTCCTAAACGAGGCGAACTTGAACAATTTTTAAACTTCAATTAAGAAACAAACTTTTCAAGCTCGATTCGAATCAACTCGGACTCGTTCGACAAACAACCTTACCGATAGTCAACTTGAATCTCCACGTAAAGTCTCCTCTCCACGCGAAAAGGTTAAATTTAAGGAAATGGTCACAATGAGCATTTTCATCCAGTGGAGTAGGAGAGTATGGAATACTTGCCTAATGCCAATTTAAAACATCTATCAAACGATAGACTACCACTTGAGTTAACCCTAGGTTGAAATAGATAAGTTTAAGGGCTACAGATCTATACCTTTTGTTATTTGTAGATTGTCCCTATCACTTTGTGCAAATATACTTGTGTATTTACGTTCAACACTCCCCCTCCCCTCTTATCGTTTCTCCAAAAATTTTGACCATACAAAACTAATTCACGTGTTTATGTCTTAGAGAACGAGGGTTGTACCCATTGCACAAGACACTATTCTATGGAGAGGTTTAAGAAAAATAAGCAATAATCGGTCTTATTTTTATTTTTGAGAGACTGATTTTTATTCAAACTCAAGAAGTATCACTCGAACAAATGAGTATTTTTCATACTCGAGGTCCAAACTGTGACAAAAAAAATCAATTATCAACAACAAATTATGACACTATTTATTTTGTTTATGTTCATCTGAGCGCGTTGTTTAAATTCTTGTCCAAAACTAATCTAACCCTCATGGTAAGTTTGTTTAGGGTCGTGTTGTGTACAAAAATTATCACCCTACTTGTAAATAAGTATTGGAGTTATAAATAAACACAGGGTGTATTTGTTGGTATTGACAAATGCTATCCATACCAAACCTCTCAAAAAAAAAAATAGTACTAGTATCACACTTCTATCCAATACCACCTCTTGTTTGTTTTTATATAAATGGATTAAGTGAGATCTACCAAAAAAGTAAATGTTAGGTGACATATTCTATGCAAAAAAAATGCTTTTAACCTTATTGCAATCCATGGGGCAATGGACAAATGGGTGTTGTAGTAATTTTACTATAAGTGGGACTAATACCGGTTTACTATACCACCTATTGGGTGATATTCAATAGACTCATGTACATGGATATATTGTTACTGTAGCAATTGGGTAAGAATTGGGACCCGAAAAATAGTACTAAACATAAATTACACAACAAACAAGGTTTAAATTGGCCCCATATACTAATTTCTCTATCCCACCTTCTAATACCCCAATTATCTGTCAAACAAACACACCCTTACTCTCTTGGTAATGTGTCTAATAAATTATATTTACCACAATTTACCTGCGCTGTAAACATATAGACACAATTCAGAAAGACAACCCTCCAACACCTCTGCCCCAACTCACCTTGGCCCCTCAAAAAATGGTTTGTGGGAATGCCATGATAATACAAAACAAATGTGGTCACAAAATTGAAGAAGCCAATCAGTTTTTCACCTACTTTCATTTAAAAGTGGACCTACTATGACTCTTACACTCCAGTCCAGTCAATTGTTAAAGACACTTGGATTTAAGTAAGGCTCAATAGTCGCATTCCAAATATCTATGTCTNATTAAAGAAATGTGGCAATGTTGTGCTACACGTTCACCATTATTGTTTAGAAAACTTAAATATGTTTCAACAAACAATTCTATAAAGGCGGCTTAGTGCACGACGTTTCCACTATTACAGAATCTAAGGAGGATTAAATATACGCAGTCTTATCATTATTATTTGGGTGTTAAGGATTCGAATCGGAAAAATAGTCTCTGTAATTGTAGAGCTACATACATCTATTCCTCCATAAACTCTGTAGTGATATGAATCTCGTGCATTAAACCCTCCCTTTTGTTTTTGACCTACCGTAAATTCAAATAGGACATTATGTAAATAAGACATTAAAGATAGATAACTTGTCAAAAAAAAAAGTATCAAAGCAGATCTGATTCTAGGATGGTAATTTGACTTCTTTCTTATAAATTTCCTATTAGATCTATTGTGGCACTGTTTAATACCACCATTAGAAAAGGTTAGTCAATGATGACGGGAGGGTACTTTGACAGGGTCACTTTGAGAGGATGTGAATGAGATGTGGGAACAAACCATGTGTATCCTATTAATTTCATTNTGGAGGGTACTTTGACAGGGTCAATTTGAGAGGATGTGAATGAGATGTGGGAACAAACCATGTGTATCCTATTAATTTCATTTCTTTTCTCAAAGTTTTAGCAATTATTTCATAAAATTATTCACAAACAAGATTGATTTGTGATTCTCTCTAATGGAGAGATTTTGTTCCAATTATTATTATTATTATTTTTTTGGCACCACCCCTTCACCATGAAGCAAGGGTTTTTACAACAATAAATAAACCGATGCTTAAATTTCTTTATCTCTTCTCTATGTTTGTGATTTTATTTTGGATATGAACAAAAATATATTTATTGTTTATTATTTTTTATTATNAAACTCAAAGTTAGAATCCCGAGACATTAGCAATGAAAATTCAACTATTATGAGTTATCCGACAGGTTGTATGTTGAGGTTTATTACATTAAAGAAATGTGGCAATGTTGTGCTACACGTTCATCATTATTGTTTAGAAAACTTAAATATGTTTCAACAAACAATTCTATAAAGGCGGCTTAGTGCACGACGTTTCCACTATTACAGAATCTAAGGAGGATTAAATATACGCAGTCTTATCATTATTATTTGGGTGTTAAGGATTCGAATCGGAAAAATAGTCTCTGTAATTGTAGAGCTACATACATCTATTCCTCCATAAACTCTGTAGTGATATGAATCTCGTGCATTAAACCCTCCCTTTTGTTTTTGACCTACCGTAAATTCAAATAGGACATTATGTAAATAAGACATTAAAGATAGATAACTTGTCAAAAAAAAAAGTATCAAAGCAGATCTGATTCTAGGATGGTAATTTGACTTCTTTCTTATAAATTTCCTATTAGATCTATTGTGGCACTGTTTAATACCACCATTAGAAAAGGTTAGTCAATGATGACGGGAGGGTACTTTGACAGGGTCACTTTGAGAGGATGTGAATGAGATGTGGGAACAAACCATGTGTATCCTATTAATTTCATTTCTTTTCTCAAAGTTTTAGCAATTATTTCAT